TATTCTATTCTATTCTATTCTATTCTATTCTATTCTATTCTATTCTATTCTATTCTATTCTATTCTATTCTATTCTATTCTATTCTATTCTATTCTATTCTATTCTATTCTATTCTATTCTATTCTATTCTATTCTATTCTATTCTATTCTATTCTATTCTATTCTATTCTATTCTATTCTATTCTATTCTATTCTATTCTATTCTACTGAATGAGCTATTTCCAAGAGAGAAAATATCCTCAGTTTAACATTGCTGTCTGTCATCAAGAGCCTCCCAGTGAGCAACTCTAGTGACGACATGCACATGGCCACTCTAAAATATGTAGTTATGAAGACAGATTCCCCATGACATGGGGCTTTTCTTTAAAAGCCTCAACCCCTGCTTAGAGCAATAGTCATGGGGGAGTTTGATTGAGCTTTGGCATGTTTTCAAGTCAACAGAAAGCTCTTGGAATAATATGCCAAACACTTTGACCACTAGCTTCACTAATCTTTAACCAGGCACTTGGCACTTAATCTGTAGAGAGAATTTCTTGCCTGTGTGTCCTTAAGTTACTGTCTAGGATGGTATATACCTTCTCCATGATGATTTTAAGGATGTCTTCAGGGCCCTTCCCATCCGTAATGACATAATTTGGTATGACCCTGCCAGGTGAATGCCAATGCCAAACACGCTTTACATCAAATCCGCTATTTACCTCATCCTGCCTACCGGCTGAAGTTACATTATGAAATGAGAAACAGTGTCTGCTTTCCACACAAATCTGAACGAGGGGTGGGGGGAGTTACTCAACAAGCTCTTGATGAGAAGAGGTCATACGAGATTACTCACAACTCTCCAGCTGCATTATGCACGTCTGCACATCCATGGGGAAATTCTTCAGATCCATCGGACATGAGAGTGTCAGAGTCAGTCTAAAAATTGAGTGGAAAAAAAGCATAGATTTTTTAAATGATACACACACCTCTTTAATATGTGCTTTTTCAAGTATAAAACATGGTAATTTTTATGCACAAAAATTGTAAATGGAATTCCATCTACATTTTCTGAATGAGTAATGTGTAAATCCACAACTCAGACAAAGAAGGGAATCAAAGTGGAGGGCTTTGAGCATCTGAAGCTGCTTGAGTGGTGGGATTTCTGAACGGGGCCACTAAAGCATAGGAGAGACAAGTCTGACAGCTGCAGATTGGCCATGTTTTAATTACACTCCTTCTCCCTCAGGGCACCACGTGGATTTCAGTTAGAGTGAATCCTCTGTCGTCTCACATCTGCACAGCTTTCCGTCATATCTCCTCAAAAGCCTGACATAATTTACCCCTCACTATTAACTCCAGCACTTCTCTTCTACCCTCACGCTGCTTCCTATGGATTCACTGTAATGATTGATGTGGAATGACATTGTGTTTTTTCCTTGCATTTGTTGAGGGGTTAGTTACATTTTAGAGTTCGAAGGAATGACTCAAATGACTCAAGTCTGCATCAGCTGAGGCGTTTGATTACTGGGATGGTGGATTGTTATTGACATTTTCCTGCTGCGGAATTTAAGCACATGTCTCTTTCTCAAGAAATTACTTCTGCTTTGTCTTGATTTGTTATTTACATCATGTATATATATATATATATATATATATATATATATATATATTACAAGTAAAATGTATTACAAGTAAAATATCTATAAACATTTACATTTACATTTAGTCATTTAGTAGATGCTGTTATCCAAATCGACTTACAAATGAGGACAATAGAAGCAATCAAAACAAACAAAAGAACAACAATATGTAAGTGCAAATGACAAGTCTCGGTTAGCCTAACGCAGTACACGTAGCAAGGTACTTTAAAAAAAATATATATATATGATTCTGTAGGCTAACATTAATACCTTGAATTTTATGCGAGCAGCTACTGGTAGCCATTGCAAATTGATGAACAGAGGTGTGACGTGCGTTCTTTTCGGCTCATTTGAAAAGCCATATTTCTGAATGACAGAACCTAGTGATGCCATGTAGACAGAGAAGAGAAGTGGTCCAAGAACTGAGCCTTGAGGCACCCCAATAGCTAGATGTTGCGACTTGGACACCTCACCTCTCCAAGATACCACGAAGGACCTATCTGAGAGGTAAGACTCAAACCACTGGCGTGCGGTTCCTGAGATGCCATTTTACAATAGGGTTGACAGGAGAATCTGGTGGTTCACCGTATCAAAAGCAGCGGACAGATCCAGCTAGATAAGTATAGTATTATTTAAACAAAATATGTTAACATGCTGGAATTTAAAATGGTCATCATACAGCATTCTATTACATTTCAGTAAAACAAAGGCATTTTATTGATTGATTGATTAATTGAATGCTAGGCATTATTACATACTGAAACTCTCAGCTGCTGCTTACTGTAGTCACACTACAAAATGTTTTCTACGACCTATAACTATTTTGATCGGTGCTGAAGAGTCTCACCTGATTGAATAGAGGACATTTCCATTTTTGAATATTCTCAAGAGCTTGTTGTCAGTGGTGACCTCGTGGAAGTGTGCTCCCTTCTCATTAGCGAAGAACAGATCAGGCTTCCAAATGGAGTCTAACATTGAGGGATCCAGGTCCAGGGAGTCATCTGGGTACTCGCTGTAAGCTAACCGAGGGTCGTTCCACTTCTGCCGGAGAAATATGTTCACTCTGTAATCCTAAGAATAAATACTTAACATCAGTCAAGGCGAATAGCACAGGAGATGTACAACAGTCCTCTCTGTCAGTTTTAAATCAGACAAAATGGGTATTTTCATGTACAAGCATGCACAGCCGCTGCAAGTAAAATAGAAATGAGCATCATTACTTAAATTTATGGTACAGCAAAATGCTGTTTGAGATTTTTACATATTCAATGCAATGCTGTTTACATTTGTAGTTTCACAGCTGTAAATACATTAAATCAGTGGTTATCAGCCGGTATGGTGCTACGTAATGTTTGTTCTGATAGGGTTACAATCAAGAGAGAAAAAAATGCTAAATGCAAATAACAAAATCAAGCAAATCAAGCAAATCATGCAATAAGGATAGCAAAATAAATACAGTAGGATTATTAACAAGGTAGGATAAAATGTGGCCTTTTTTTGCTGACATTAAATTCACTTGATAAAAGCTGGTCAAATTAGGCAGATGCCAAAATGAACAGGTTAAGTGATATACCTTCTTCTGAAAATCATGAGCAAAATCCCTCAAGGACAAAGCAAATGACCCAGATTTCATTAAATATGGGTGACAAGTTTATGAACCACGGATGTCATTGTTATATAGTATTATAGTTTTTGTTAATATCTTTATTTAGATTTTATTTTTATAATTTGTTTTAATTTGAATTTGAAAGTTTTAAGTCATTTTGTTGTGCATTTTGTCATTTTTAATATGTCTATAGTTTTAATTTTAATTGTAGTACTTCAGCTTAAGCTAAATGAATATAAGAAATGTTGCCCTGTAACTAGATGAAATACAGTGTGTATTTTTTATTTATTTATTTTTGTTTTTAAATTTTTTGTCAGTTTTAGTTAATGATAATAACCCTGTTGAAAATATAAAACTTAGCTAGAATTTATTATATGTGCATGACTGAGAAACAAGGTATTTTTTTCTCTGTCAATCTGACATAGAGACATTACTGGCATGCTCTTACATTTGCCTTGAGACACATAAAAATAAAAAATAAACTCTTAAATGTAATTTACAGCTCTTAGTCCACTAAAGTTAATTAAAGTTCAGGGAATAAAATGTAATACAATTTTAAATGCCATATTTTTTCATGATAATTGCCTAGAAGCCTGGCAGAATTGCAGGAGTAATGAAGACAAAGCCTCAACAATAAACTTGGAGACAGATTTATGATAATCTGAAACTAATAAAAGCTGATATAAATGTTAAAAATGCATCCAAGGAGAGATTGGAACTTATGCTTTTTGACAACAATAGTTCTTTTGTTCAGAATTTTAAGAATATACTATGTATAGTCAGACTGAATTTGCCTGAAAGCAACTAAGACAAGCAACCACTAATAATGAATGGAAGGTGACAGTGCGTGGGTGATATAATTTGTTAGGCAGCAAGGCGGATGGAGAACCGGGCGGTTTTCATATCTTATCTGTGTCAATATCTGGGATATTGGAATGAAGTTCTACTTGTGTAGTTTCACACATGGGAAACTAGTGGAACATGGTTAGTGACTATAGGCAAACTCGACTGTGTCAGATCCCCCACTTGTCAACAGCAAAGCAACATCTCAATGCTGAGTACATGGTGATAACAGGGTGGCCGTGGATCCTTAAAATATCTTAAATTCAGATTCAGTGGGTCTTAAATATTTTTAGTCACAGTACCGCAAAAAGATTACAGTCTGACGGATCCAGTGACTGTTTACAATAATTGGACAGACTTGAGATCCCCCCCCCTGTAGTTACTGCAGAGAGAGAATTGCAGTAGCAGAATCCTGCCGAACACCAGCTTAGCTGAGCAGGATCGCAGCTGCTTTGGGTTAATGCAAGTTTACTGAAAAGTTGCTTAAGAATTTTACTTGCCCGACTTGAAAAAATAGCCTGATTATAACTTAAGTGACCAAAAAATAACTAGTGACGCATCGAAATGCGAGAATGATTCTTCTCATTTTATTACATTCAGCTTATATGATTGTTCATGGATAGTGTATTTACTTTCTGGTATCGATGTCGCACTGTTGAGGCTCGTGCTGCCTGTCTCTGTGAGAGACTTTCATGGAGAAATCAAATCAAATAGCATAACGGCACACATAAAGAAACTCACAGAAGAAACATACTGAAGTAAAAAATTTAAATGTTTAGTTTATTTATAACATGATGTAGTTAAGTAACATACTGTGAAAAGGGGGCTATTTTGCTGATTATTTTCATGATTGCAAATGTTACATTGATTTTAGTTCAACAAACAAGTAGTTAAGTATTGACTGTTTTGTTCTATTTCACCAACGAAAATAGTTCCAAACAAAGATCAGAACAGAGGTATTACACATTCGCCAAGCAACACAAGGCATTTTTGTTACTGAATGATTCAGGGTTTTGAAGGAATTGGTTGAATGAATGAATCACCTACTGGCGGTTTAGTCTCATGTTTAAAAGTATGCATTTTCTCCCAACATTTCTTATTTGTATATTCAAAATTTTATTAAAACATTAATCTCATAACATTATTTAATGCAGATGTAATTTTGCAGTGTAAATTATTTAATTTAATTTGGTAACAGCCCTGTAGTGTATATTGAATTTATTGATCAATTGTAAGAATTTGACATGAAAGATGACGCATACATTTAATATGTAAAAAAAATATTGGCCTTTATAAAAGTAAATAACATCCTGGGGTAAATATTAAAAACATGCAGATTTAAGTATGTAAAAGCTGATTTAACACTGATAAAAATATTGCTTCAGAATAAATAGTTTACACCACCAAAAATCTCGGTGATGCTATGTGGGGATATGGTCGCCGTGATTTTGCCAAGTGAGACATATTCCTGTATCAACATCTTTTGTTGATCCTGGATCAACATTACTGTCCAAAAATATAGACCTAACCCAATCCCTACCCCTAAACCTAACCCTACCCATAATTTATTCCTAAAATCAGAGGGAAACGATAGGTGAATAAGAAGGGTGTAGAAGCATCTAACCCTGACTGTAAGCCTAAAACTGACATTTCTTGAAAACTTATCCCTCAATTCTGATTGGTTGATTGGAATGTTGTTCCAGGATCAACAAGGATGTTGATCCAGGAACATGTTGTACTTGGTGAAATCACATTCACCATGGGAATATTTAGTATGGGATATTGTTTGCTGATATGAAAAGTTCACTGTATATCGTAATAATAAATAGCATTTTGACAGCGATGTTTTGTTTTCTTTTTACATTAAATACATTAAATATACATATCCCAGAAAGTACACGTACTGTATGTCTGCAAGATGTCTGTTAAAGATTGCTTCATCTGGAAAGCATCTGCTGTGTACAACACATCTGATAAATGTTTTTAAGATGTCAGTTTTACATACATTCTAAATCATAAACATCTTAAAGACATTTTCTAAACGTTTTTTTGACATCTGATAGAAAACATCTCAGAGACGTATTGCAGATGAGCAAACACTCTAAAAAAATACATCTTGCAGACGTCAAATAGACGTCTTCACGATGAATGTGTACTATCAGGGATGTAATTTAATGTGTATTCCCATCACAGGTTTGGTCTTAAATTTCATATAAGGTGCTATTAAAACTTTTTCATATCTGTAGACCCCCTGGATAAGCAGAAACAAAAAAAAACGTCAAAGCATCAGTGTTCTGCTTCACTTCCTAAAACACCTAACCGTGGTGGTTTGTTGACAGGAACATAGCTGACGCTCACAGAATACAAATCAGAATTGGCCAACATCTCAGCTGATGAAACATGGCTTGCTTTCATTATAGATGTCACACCACTGCTTTGTCAATCTCTTGGTTGCTTTGTCATCAACTTAGCAGTTAATTCTGTCCTCTGCATATTTCTTTGCGGTCGGTGCTGTGTACAACACATCTGATAAATGTTTTTAAGATGTCAGTTTTACATACATTCTAAATCATAAACATCTTAAAGACATTTTCTAAACGTTTTTTTGACATCTGATAGAAAACATCTCAGAGACGTATTGCAGATGAGCAAACACTCTAAAAAAATACATCTTGCAGACGTCAAATAGACGTCTTCACGATGAATGTGTACTATCAGGGATGTAATTTAATGTGTATTCCCATCACAGGTTTGGTCTTAAATTTCATATAAGGTGCTATTAAAACTTTTTCATATCTGTAGACCCCCTGGATAAGCAGAAACAAAAAAAAACGTCAAAGCATCAGTGTTCTGCTTCACTTCCTAAAACACCTAACCGTGGTGGTTTGTTGACAGGAACATAGCTGACGCTCACAGAATACAAATCAGAATTGGCCAACATCTCAGCTGATGAAACATGGCTTGCTTTCATTATAGATGTCACACCACTGCTTTGTCAATCTCTTGGTTGCTTTGTCATCAACTTAGCAGTTAATTCTGTCCTCTGCATATTTCTTTGCGGTCGGTGCAGAGGAGCTTGACAGAACCCATGTATTGCATCTGCGATTGCTCAACCAACTGCTGGCCTTCAGTAGCTCCATGGCAATCTCCACACTTCTGCTGTGTGATTGCCTACTCAAGCGGGACTCACTGGCATTGAGGGGGAATCTGCGCCCATGCCAACAAGCCAGTGATTAATCACATCTCCATATGTCTGCGACTTCTGTAACAGTTAGATAGCCCAATGCATTCATGCTTTGGTAGTGACTATTGAAAAACTTAACCTGCATGTTGTCAGCATAACCATTGGAAACTCTAAGCCTGCATGTTGTCAACTTATACCAAAATGAGCAATGGTGAAAAAATGTGTGCCACTTACAAGTAAAAATCAAGTTTCACACCAGTCCAGACATGCAAAACCACTCTTCAATGTAGAGACGGAAAAAAACAACAACTTGTTGATTAAATGGCAAATTGCACCATCGTAACTCCACTTTATGAAGCTGACGATAATCTTAATATTATCATTCTTATCAGCTGGTGTATAGAGCTGGGCTGCTCAGATCTTAATATGTCAGATTTCCAGCACATGGACAGACAGATGTGCAAGGATTCTCAAAGACCAAAGAATAATCATCCTGTATGTTCAACAACAACCTCTTAAAAAATGTTGTTTTGAAACCGTAACTACTTGAGGTTAGACATTCACAACCTTATAATCGGACAAAAGAGGATTAGTGGATTGAAGCAGTGGAATTAGGAAGATAATACATGAGAAAATGACTCATTTTCAAATATTCCCAGGTTTGAAATCGTCACACTTTTTCCTCTGATGTTTAGACATTCCTGTCCTTTGATTTCCTTTCATTTTAGAAAACAGTTTACAGAAAGTGGCATATGAAGAAATATAAGCTGTGTCACATTGTCATTATGAATATCAGCTATTTGGGAACTGAGGATTGTCCAGAATAATGTTCTGTTAATGCAGTGTCCTTTGTTCCTGGATGATACGCTTATCCCATGGCCCTAATGCTGAAGGAAGGCGATCTCCAAGGGCCAGATGGTAAGGGCAGGGAATTTAGGAAGGGTTACTATAATCCATATATGACATATGGGTAAGCATATCTAGAGAGAATTCCTTTACATGGCTTTTTACTTTCTACTTCACCCTTAAACCAAGACTGGGACAACAAATCTAAGGGATATTGTTTATTACTGCACATTGAAATGTTTTGTGTTAAAATGTGTACTGTTTACCAGTAAGTTGAAAACATATCCAGATATTCAGACAATTCTTTGAAATATACTTTCTTGATAGACTTTAACAATGTGTTTTTAAGATGACATGATGTTAACACCAGTGGAGTTAATTTGTGAAACATTAACTCATTTGACCAGTAAATTGTAAGATAAAAAAAAGTCTTTAGAAAACTTTTAAATCTTGATGCAATTTTTTTGTATGTATGTTGGTTTCATACATTTAAGAAAAAATGGTTATATTAATATCAATTTGTATAACCATCAATTAAAAAGTTAAATATGTTCTTATGCATATAGTGTGCCGATTTTTATCATTATCATTTTCTTTATAATTTTTTTTAAAATAATGTAATAGAATATGTATTCTTTTTTATTAAATAATTTACGTCTATATTAAAAATCTATTTTGTTTAATAAATGTATTATTATGAATATTATTGGTGTTATTCCTTTTGAAATGTAAACATCTGAACTAAACTTTTCATGTCATTAAATCTGATCATCTGATATTTTTACTTGTTGACTTTAATATACAGTCAGAAGCCCTATCTGGACGGGATTTGTTTTACAAGGGTAGATGGAATCATGTAATTTTACCACAGCACATCTGTAATATTAATAGCCAATTCACACGGGATAAAAAAATCTCAGTAAAACTACCAGAAGTGGGGGAGGTAACTCGATTTACCTCGAGTAAACATGTCCATTACAAAAGAGGTACATTCAAGTCAGTGTCTGTATGAGCTCCATTTTAAATATATTTTTGAATAGCTAAATGAATCTGGACAAAAAAACAAACAAAATAGTGTCATGCCAATGAGACTTATTACATGGAAAGATTATTTCTTAAAGCCCAGCTGTACCCTGGATCACAAAAAAACAGTTTGTTGATTTGAGTAAATGACAAGTACCCTGCTTGAAGGAAGGAATATTTATGAAGAGAAGTCCACTCAGAGTGAGGAGAAAACTTTGGCAAAAGCACAGTCTCTTCAGACATAATTACTTCAGAGTGGGTGTGCCATCTCTCTGCGCATAACTTATTCAGAGCAAGCTGAGGGATGAAGGCGACAAGGCACTCTCAGTGTGTGTGTGTGTGTGTGTGTGTGTGTGTGATGAGCCATTTGTGTTCACAGAAAGTAATGTTGGGACACTTGTGTAGATAAGCTAATGTCACATCTCCTTGTTCCTGTGTGTAGATCTGGGTTGTAATGTGATATGAGCCATTTGTGTTCACAGAAAGTAATGTTGGGACACTTGTGTAGATAAGCTAATATCACATCTCCTTGTTCCTGTGTGTAGATCTGGGTTGTAATGTGATGCAATCCCAAATGTGTGTTTGTTTGGCCGTCTGCAGTGTAAGATGTGACCAAACATCAAAAAGAAAAAATAAACCATAATACGCAACATGCACAGGGTTCCATTGCTAAGCACACCCGGAGCCTGTTTTTATTCAACCATGGTGGCATATAATAACAAACAAGATCCCTGTAGGGATGACGTGCACAACAATAACTGCTTTCTGCCTCTCAGTTGCTGATTGCCTGGAGGTTTCAGGATATGGCTACCTGGAATACATGCAACCCAGACCCCAGTACATCCAAGGCTTGGGTGCTTTCTTCTGCATGAACTCTTGTCTGAACCGTTCTCCCTTTTCTTTTCCTGATGTAATTCATCCAAAGTGTTGTTGTTAACCCAGACGGTTGTGTCCAGCTCTACTTGTAAACCAACAATGTTAAATACCTTTTAAAACTTTTTCAATTTATACATACAAATCATTGAATACACCACTGAACATGTTTAAAATTTGTCTCTCTCTGTCTATCTATCTATCTATCCATCTATCTATCTATCTATCTATCTATCTATCTATCTATCTATCTATCTATCTATCTATCTATCTATCTATCGTCTGTCTGTCTGTCTGTCTGTCTTCTCTGTCTGTCTGTCTGTCTATCTTGAAATTCTTGAAAATAAATCTAATAAACAAATATAAATTTAATATATCCTAAAAACTGCTATATATACATATAGTAATATTTGAACCTTTGTCTGCCAAAGGCAAGGTTAGTTCAGGTTGTAAAATGCCATAATTCCATGATATCTGGAGGAAAAAAATAACTAGTGTTTTATTTTATTTTATTTATGTTCATTCATTCATTCATTCATTTTTATTTTGTAATGTTTCCTCACATACACTTATAATTGTCACGGGTGCACTGCTGTGCTGACTGAGGAGCAAGGAACGGAGAGAGACGAGGAGTACATCAATCCAACCACAAAACACGGAACAGAGTCTGACAATAATGTGTTGTAATGTATCAGAAACTGTCATAATGTAGAAATAATTTAGAAATGATTGTGTACAGCATCAGAATGCAGTCAGTTTGATTGACAGCTCCAGCGATTATAAAGCGAGCATTTTTGCTCACTTTATGTATATAATTTAATCAAAATTTAAATAACAGTTGATTTCCATGCCAAGAGGAATAGTGTGAAGTTGATTGTTTAGTCACTGGCTTAATTTACTGATGCAAAAATGCAATAAATGAATATTATCCTTTGAAGATAATTTTACTTTTAGTCCAGTGATCCTGTTGTGTTTTTCCGCATTTTCTTAACGTGCCAGTGGGCAGACCAAAAAGGCATTGATCTGTGTCTGTGCATGCAGTCTTGGGGTGTTGTATTAATCTCTATTACGTAATAAAAACCTGGAAGTAGAAAACAAGCTCTTTTGGCAGCGTTTAGTGTGATTTTATACCATAATTACCTCTTATATGTCAAAAGATCAAGGAAAATTTGATTTCTTATGCCATGACCCCTTTAAAAGATTTTTCTTTTTTATTTATATTGGACACACATGTCATTGGCCTATTAACAGTGGTGTACGGTGGTGAGTGGGGAAGCTCTCCACATGACTGGATCTATGATTGACTTCAGAGAAACATACTACTGTAACTTTTTTTATTGATGTAACGGAAGATTCAGAGTGAAATAATTCGCATAGCTTACTAAAACTGCTTTTTAGCAAATGTGAAGGCAAAATAACCTTTTATGGTACTGAAAGCTCAGTTAATTGTAGATTTTAAGGCTGAGATGAAAGATTAAAGGGGTCTAAAGGAGTCCAAAGGGTATAAAGCCCTCCCAACTTTGTCTCATAAAATTACTTCCAAGGAGACTGGTGACAGAAGCAAGTTTGCACCCCTTATGACTTTCAGCCGGTGGACACTTCCTAACAGTGTCCTACAGTCTTTCTCACAATCTGAATTTAGATGTAATGCATCCACGCAAGCAGAAACGTTCCCTTCATTCAAAACACAAACTTTTGAATATGTGCTATACTGTTTCCATTAAGTCTGAACTGTGAATTTTAATGACAGACTATTAGTGCAACAGTGCTGTAGGATATCAGACCGAATCAGACAATCTAAGATTTGGTCAAAACCGAGTTGAGGCACGAGGAGTCACAAAAATTCCACAGAGGCCCCAGACAACAGGATGTCATAAATCAGACCCCAGCCTCTCTGAAGCAAGCCTAAACCTAAGCCCCTGTCACAGAACAGTTTTCAACATTAACACAAAAGAACACATTGACAAGTCCAAGGAGATTGTAAAATTTTGGGGCAAGTTATCAAGAATAATGGTCAAAAGAGATGACCGCATGACTATCACACGATAGTAACTACAGTCACAAGCTGCTAATATATTGCTATGATTTGCCAGATAGGTAATACATACCATAGTTGTCTCTGCAATGGAGCCAAAACTGTTAATGAATATGTTGCATGTTACATTCACAGGTGGACCTGTGGAAAGAAGAGCGAAATCAGCCGTAATACAGTAAAGTCTCTACAAAGATATTTTCTATTTGACTCACTGGTTAATCATTATATATGTGTGAGTACTTATGGGCTATTTAAAATGTGTCTGCTTTAATATAACCATTAATGCATCTGTTTTTCATTTTCTTATTAAATAATGTTATCCATAGTTTCATCTAATTTGCATATTCTTATGCATTTTTTTTTATTTTAGACAAAAAATAACAATAAATAAATAAAATAATAATAATACTTTAAAATTAAGATATCATTAAAATGTTTGCTTTGTTGAGATCACAAGAAAATTAAATCATGATCAAGACTAAACAAGACATAATTAAGTAATGGAAGGAAAAGGAAATTTGGGTAATTTGATCTGCTTTACTCGTTATTTATTTATTGATTAATTTATTTCCATTTTACTTACAATATTGATGTATGCAATGGACTTAGAACATAAATGTATTTCTTTATTATATATCTGCTTGTAACACACCTAAGCCAGGTTCCTGTCATTCAGAACTGCACCTCTCTTTTTTTTGTAGCTTTTCAAATTCCCTTTACTTAACATTTATGAATTAGTGGCTTCTGTAAATGAGCTTCTGAAGGGAAGACCTTCACCAGCTTAATAATTTAAGAAAGCTCAGGCTGATTTATAGTTTGAGATGGTTTGGGTTCAGGGCCACTCTGTAACAGCATAATGAATTAATGTCCTCAGGGTCATAGCAGAACATCTAGAGGCAACTGGAAATATAAATGAAACAGAATATAGTCACATCTGCATTAGCTTTGTACTTTATAATATATGAATCTTGTAGACACCGATGATCACTGTAACTAATGGTTTTAAAGACATCAAATCGAAAACAAGAAGTGGTGGTAAATAACCAATAAAGACAGCACAATATATTACTTTCAAGGAGAAACAGAGTAAATGATAAGGAGAAAGGGCTTGTTTGTACTACCTTTAAAGTTGGGCCTAATTCTGGCATCATAACCTGAGGTTCTTCCCATGAGCTTGTCAAGGAAGTCAGAGGGTGACGACATGGATGCTGTTCCTCCTTGAGGGTTTTCTAGTTTTTTTGACACCACCAAACTGAGAAATAAAAAGAGAGAGATAAAAAGGGGGCAGATTTGAGCAAATCAGCCACGACAGTCACCAAGGCAACAAATGTAAGAGGCTATACTAATGTCATCTGACATCAAATAGTCAGGTTTTCCATTTGGGGCATTAGACAAGACTGTATAATAAGCAGCTTTTGTCCACTCCAACATATTACGTATAAGAATACAAATATATTTAGGTCTGTACATTCAGATTGTGCATTATGCAATTAAATAAATGCATGAGATTTACCACTGTAATACCCATCAGAAGAGACAGCGATATTATAATAGTATATTGCATAACAATAACAATATCATTCAGCGTAATTTCATTTTGAAATGATATACACATGTTATATACTTCTCTATGCTGACCTATTGCAAATTATCATACATAGCTAAAATACAATATAACAGTTGGTGTGCAAGTAATGCTGTTGAACTCTCTAGAAAACTTCATATTGTGATACACAAAGGAAAACTGTGCTGCCTTATTTCCTTTTAGTAATGACTGAAAGACAATCATTTTGTCAGGCATTATTTCTCTTGATAAGGGGTAAAAGGAAGTTATGTTGGCAGGAGCAGATAAGGGATAATTTATGTCTTGATTATTAGCCCAGTGTTGAGAGGTGCTATTCTTTGTGCTTGGCGTTTATATGTATATGTTGGATTTTTGCTGTTGCACCCCTGTGCTACTTAGTTCACATAAGGCTTGCAGTCCATGGTTAGGTCTACGGAAACTACCTACAAATGCTTGCCAGTGAATCTCATTTTGAGTAGGCTGTGGGAAGGACACTTCATTGATCTGTTTGGTTTAATGAAAACACAACATATTTTCAGGATTTTGTGGACTTGACATTTCATAGATTTTTAATTTTTTAGGCATCTTAATTAATCAGGAGTGTGGTACTCACAGAGGAGGGGGAGAACACTGTGGACAAATATCCATTGAAAAGCATCCAAGATTTGTAACATTTAAACCTCATTGTTTATGATTGTAGATAGTTGCATAAAGATAATGCATACAATCACAAAGAAAAACTTGTTGTAATGTTTTCGTATTTTTATGTATTTTGAAAGAGTTACAGTGGGGGAAAAAAGTATTTAGTCAGCCACCAATTGTGCAAGTTCTCCCACTTAAAAAGATGAGAGAGGCCTGTAATTTTCATCATAGGTATACCTCAACTATGAGAGACAAAATGAGAAAAAAAATCCAGAAAATCACATTGTAGGATTTTTAAAGAATTTATTTGCAAATTATGGTGGAAAATAAGTATTTGGTCAATAACAAAATTTCATCTCAATACTTTGTTATAATATACCCTTTGTTGGCAATGACAGAGGTCAAACATTTTCTGTAAGTCTTCACAAGGTTTTCACACACAGTTGCTGGTATTTTGGCCCATTCCTCCATCCAGATCTCCTAAGTACAGTACATCTAATGTTGCAAGGTAAGCAAATAATATATATGCCCCTTTTAATCATTAATTTAACTTAGCCATATTGAATTTATGCACAGAGTGCTGAAAGAACATGACAATGACAAGGATCTATTGTGTAAAATGTCTCTAAACGTTAAATGTATTATGTTGTTGCAAAGCACTGAGCCATATTCCTGCTACTCCTTGAACTCTTTCCTATCCAGTGTATGCATACCCAGTAATTTATACTGGGATAAGTTATTCCAGGATTTATTAGCTGTTATCCCAATCATAATCAATTATCATGGAAATGAGGACACTGACGATCTGAAACATACCTGCCACGTTTTGCAAAGTGTGCAGAAGTCTAAAATGAAATGAGGAAAATCAACAATAACATATGACTGCATAATTGTAATGTAGTTGTAATTTAGAATACAGCAATATAAAAAAAAAAAATAGCATCTGGTGGGAATGTTAATCATTACATTCAATGTGGTAAAATAAATCTGACTGAAATAAAATTCTAAAAATATAATTTTAAATATTGTTGTTAATAAAAATGTATAAATAAATATTTCAAATATAATTAAAAAAAATTAATAGAACACATATAACATTTATAAATTTACTGTACTTCTGTTCAGTGTGTGGGTGTTAACATAATGCCAGTGCACTGAACTGAGCATGAACTGTGATCTGGCTTTATAAAGTCTAATCAGTGACATTTCAGCCTGTTGTGTACAGAAATGTTTCTTTCTGGCTATACTGAAGCACTCATTAAGTTTCTGATGAACATAGGTCAGAGGTCAGACAGTAAGATTAGGATTAAAAGCATGTGACAAAATTACTGACACTCGCTGCAAAATCATCTTGTGAGACGAGCACACAAAAACACACACATTCATCTGAGGCTGCTTTGCTCAGCACGGACCAACTTTTCTCACCACTGTTGACACTGACATTCCTCTGAACGCTTTGTTGCCAGTTATTCTCCGCCGGTTTCCTCTTTCTCATTTTTTTATGGCTTTGAGTTCTGTTGTATCAAAGCTCGGAGACTAAGCAAAACTAGATCAGTTTAGAACAAAGCAGTGAATGAATGAAACTTGAGGGGAGCTCCAGTGTTTATTTGGCTGGAACAGCATAGAGGATGAAGATTTGCTCTTTACCTTTATTTCAATGCCAACTGCAGAGATTAATCATAGTCTGCAGTCAACAAGGAAGACCACCCTTGACATCTTTCCACATCTGGGGTCAATATACTGGATTTTGTTTAACAGTTTTCTATTTGCACTCCATTAAATATGGATTTTTCACTCCATCTGATACCTTAATAATGTAGTTTGTTTACCTGTCTGATTCTCAGTAGATAAGTGAATTATAAAAAGGCATGACTAGAAAGTCTGTGACAATTTTAAATAAGGTTGTGGATTATATTCAAAACTAAAGGCCATGACACATCAAATCAAAGAAAACATCCTTTATTGCTGACAGAAGCTGAACGACAAAGTCAAAGAGGGCACATACAGAAGGCTCTTCTAATTGTACATCTGGGAATTGCAATAAGCAAATATTTTTGTCTGGAATAAAGAAAGTGATGACTAAATTATAAACATGATTCATATTCAGAATGGTAAGCAAGCACCGCTTTGTTTACGGTTTGTAGTTCTAGTCCTTTTTGAATGACAAATACAGATTACTACCACCTGCTGGAACAGAAAGTTATTTACTCTTATTCAGCTGCAGAACCTCCATGCTATTTGGCGGTTGGCTGTGTCTTTGTGGTGTGTTCAAGCGCAATGTTTTGGCCCAAAACAGTCGGATTTCATCGCCACTAGTTCTTTGATGTCAGCTTGGTGTCGAATGGCCTTAACCAACTCTGATGTTGCTTCTGAAACTTACAGCAACTTCTGCATCTGTGTAAAAGCCTCTGGCTATGACCATTGTGTCTTGGTGGTGGGCCTTCCTGACTATGCGGAATTGTGAAGTCAAGAGTGCACATCCCAACTTTGCTCCCAGGAGCAGTAGGTAAACTATAAACCTCCAATTACCAAGCTCCTTTTCAGCAGAAAAAAACAAGCTTCCAGCAACCTCTCTCTCTCTCTCTCTCTCTCTCTCTCTCTCTCTCTCTCAGCTTGAAATGCATTATGTCTCTATGACGATGCTCGCGGCTTCTCTGTTCATTTCAAGGTCACTCTGTGAGAGACAGACACATGCGTTTACATGTTGGTTTGCTGTACAATAGGGAATTAATATAGCGTATAAACATACAGTTGTGTCATTGTAGTTTCTCTGTGTTTTAGGCTACTGAGCGAGTTTGGGTTATTCAGTTACTCAGATCAGGTTATCTGAGTTTATCCAAAAATATCTTGAACTTTATATTAAAGTAACAGTTCTCCCTAAAAATAATATCTGTACTCACTCGCTAGTCATTTAGACCTTGCATTGATGAAAAAAAATCTCTCAGCTTGAAATCCTGGTCTAGGCAGAATCATCCCAACCAGAGAAAGCCATCAGCCATGGATTTACTCTTGCAACCCCTGGAAGGGGTAACCTCTGGGTCCAAGTGTCTAACTGGTTTCCAGCAGTCATAAATATATTGTTCCTGACACTTCCCATTTTCTCCCACCAATACCAATGGAGGCCTTAAGACAGTTACCATGGAAACCACAGGTCAATGAATCATCAATGGTGGTCAACAGAGCGAGGCAGTCACAGAGGATGCTCATGTTTAAGCCGATCGAAGGGGATTGAGGATATGGTGTGAATGTGCATGTGTGGAGACAGAAGGGAGAATACCGATATCCGTAGATTGCACAAGACAAATCAGTAATAGAAATAACATATGGTAAAGTTAACCAACACACACACACACACAACCTGCCTCTATGTTGGCTTCTGTTGTATATATTTAAGATTGAAGTGAAGAAACAAGTTAGTTCAAAGTAATGATTCGCATTTCAGCTCTGCGAGGTGATCTTTACGCTGCAAAATGTTTGTAATTTGTACAAAAAAATACTGCAAAAATGTTACAGTAAAAACATGTTAATTGGTTAACTAAGTTACCTTACCATATATGATGAAAAACTGTATATGGCTTAACACAGCATTACGTGTAATTACCGTAAAATACTGCCAATTGTATGGCTTTTGCAAGGAAAAACTATGAATAACCATATCATTTACAGTGAAAAACAGTAAAAGGACATTCCCAAAAGTCCTTGTGTGACACATCACGTTTGATTGTAATTTATTGAATGTTTTTTTTCTTATTGTTTTTATCAGTAATGTGTATTAGGGTGTTTTGTGTTACATGTTCTGTTATTTAGTTAATGTTTATTGCATTATTTTAGTGTCATATGTTACTCTGATGCATTTTTGCCATTGTGTGTATGACCACTGTCTATATCTACATTTATAGACATACATTGGGTATAGAAAATAATCATCCCCCTTTACAATAATCACATTTTGTATCTTTGCAGTTTTATCTGGTTGTATTTACTCAGTGCAACTTATATCATTGAAGTGAAAGATAACACCAACATGTCAGAAAAAAAACAGCATC